CGGTCGAGTTTGTGTACACGCTCTTTATTTACAAGTGTTTGATTTGATCGTCCGAGTTCGGCCGTCGTCGCCTGATGAAACTTCGGCCGATGACGGATTAGGTGTAGGCGAAGTTTTAGTCCTTAGGTATTATAATTTTCTTTGTTACTGCCGCCTCAATTTTATACTTTTTGTAAAAAAATGTACATAAATAAGGTTCAGTCCTAAAAAATAAGACAGTTGGATATCACAATATATGGTAGCATTACGTACCTAATATTTTTTTAGTTAATGTTTTGTATTTGTTTTGTTACAGATAACCTTTGATGGAGCTCGATCGATTTGCCACTCACGTCGGCATAGAATCGTTGCTGCAATTAATCAAGGGCGACAAGTGTCACCCACTCCTGCCCCACCAGCTGCTGTTGTAAATATGCAAGGAGTTAGACGCGCTTCTAATACGCCCCGGCGACGTTTAATTGACAACTGCAACAACGGTTCTCTGCGTCGAGTGCCTAATTTGTAAGGTACAACTCCTTAGTTATTACCATTTTTATGTACCAAATCTTGCCCGCATTTGCTAATGGCATTTACTACACATGGCGATAGAAGAGATTCCTGAAAATGTAACAAATCAAATGACCGACTTGAATGTGGAGAGTGTTGGCGATATCATCAACATGTACAAGCTTTAGAACAAAGGTCAAACTTTAATGTAGATGACGTTTCTGACGAGGAGTTAAGCTTTTGGACTGGAAGAAACAGAGCAACACTCAACAATTTGCTGAGTCAAATACCAAGCCTTAATCGGTCCTCAAATACTCCACGAAATTACTTGGCTATCTACTTGTGCAAAATTCGATCAGGCGAGCCGAATAATAGAATCGCTTCACTTTTCAATATATTCGAGCGAACTGTTGGGAGAAAAATAAATAAAGTAAGGCAGAGTCTCTAGTGTGACTTTGTTCCGTTGCACCTCGGCTTAGACCATATAACCAAGAACGAAGTGATAGCCCACAAACCAACCCATACCAAATCTTTTTTTGGTAACAAAGTGTCACCATAACCAATAATTATCTTCGATGGAGCTTACATCTATATAGAAAAAAGTTCTAACTTCTTATTTCAACACCGCACTTATAGCCTTTATAAGTACAAAAACCTAATAAAACCATTCATGAAGATTGTGTGCGGATGGATATATTTTGGACGTAACAGGTCTGTACTCTGCACGGACAACTGATGCTGACATAATGAAGTTGATATGTGATATGTTCCATTTTTTTTCATCAAGGATACATATTTATTTTGGACTGAGGGATTCCATTCCCTTAATTGATTGCTATAATGCTGCTCATATGCCACCAAGCAAACGAAAACAAGACCCGCAATTAAGCACCAACCAAGCTAATAAATTGAGACTTATTACAATGGTGCAATGGGTCGTCTAAACTATAAACTGCAGTCAAGTGCAACTTCAAGATATTCAGAAACAGAGTATTTAACAAACATATGCTGCATATATTTGAGGATTTTAGAATTGCTGCAGCTTTAATTAATTGTTTTCAAGATCCGTATGAAGACCGTACAAAGAAGATTTTATATAAAATTTTATTTCTAGATTTTATTATAATTGAAGACTTAATTAAGTTCTCAATTGGCACCTATCACGTGAGGTTAGCACGGTCGTACTGCAGTGAGCGTTTGAAAACCACGGGAGTATATAATATGGAAATATATAGACATCCAGCGGCAGTAGAGGGCAGAAACAATAATACTCTATTCAGGTGCAGAATTCATTCACGACACGTTACGACAAAAAAGTATTATACTTATATTATGTTTGATGCGAATGTAAAAGGAATAAACCCAACAACAGTATATTACTGCTCGTGCTACCATGGTAAAAGAACATTCGGAAGTTGCTCACACATCATTAGTGTTGTCTATTATTTAGGGTGGGCTAGAAATCAAGATCACTTTGACCACCCCGCACTGGGTACGGATTATGTTTTATGGGACATAGAAATTCAATAAAACTTTATTTCAACATATTGGTTTTTTTGTTATAGACCATGAAAGTGGAACCCCAATGGTAGGTACCTAAATCTTCGATCTGCAATGAGTCATCTAATAGATGATTTTAATAGATCCTAAGTTGATTATCATACTAGGAGTTCAAAAATGATATAATCCAGCTGCATCTCCAGGTCTCCAAAATACATCCAATAGCGATTTTATTGTCATTTAATTAAACATACATTCACGAATTTTGTAGATAAATAGGAATTTTTTTTTGTGTATCGCCAGAACAAAAACGAGGAAATATTTTGGTGTTAGCTATTGATTTCAAACATAAAAAATATTAAATTTGATTATATAAAAAATCTTTATGATGTTTCCATCTAGTATTTTTTAATGTAGACAGACAGCTCTAGTTTTCTTGTTGATAATGAATGCTTATATTTATTTATTTAACAGTTTATGTACACACATACTTTGATAGGAAAATGGTAAAAACAAAATTATGTACAAAGGCACTGCTTATTCCATAAAGAAATTTCTTCCAACAGGCCTATTTATAATGACTTTAATTGTGAAAAAAATTAAAATTTGATTGCAGCCAATATTTTTCTTTTTATTAATTTTTATAATGCCTTACCTTGATGAATTAAGAAAAAATTTTAGTGTATTTTTTCTCATAACTGGTTCACATTTGCTCAGGGACTTTATGGCCTAATTCATCGGTATTGGTCGAATAACTATTAACCCTGTATAAATACCATCAACAACTAAATAAGGTATGTAAACACAATAATGTAACTCTGCAGTTGATCAAGGGACGCCGTGGATCCAGGGGCAACGACACAGTAGATGAACTGGCCAGGAGAGGATTGGCTCTGGCCACTTTGGGGTCAGAACCAATCATATCAATTCCATTTGGTAACTTTCATTCACTAATCAACATCACAAATCAACACACTCAGCTTTGCAAAAATATCTAATGTACTGTTGACAAGCTAGGGAGGCCTTGGCTGAAATAAACAGTAATTTAACCAAGGTTTTAATGGGATTGAACAAGCCTCAGATCAGGATAGTAACAAGTGCTATCACAGGACATGACTCTATCAACAAACATTTATTTACCGTAAGTGTTACAGATAGTCCCATGTGCAGGACATGTATTGGGTTGCTGACATGTACAGAGGCCGCTGCCTACACAGCAAAATATCTCGGCACACCAGGATAAGTCCCCTAGGTTGCTTGCAACATCAAAGGACTGCTGAACTTCTTCAGGGAGATTTCATGGCTCGAATAATTACATTATTCCTGCCCACACATAACATACGCGCTTAGATGTGGAGGTTCGGAAAACAGTCTGTCGTTATCTAACATTCTAAAGCCTTAACCCGCATTTGAATTCCTAAATTCGCTTCAGAACCCCTGCAATTAAGAAGAATAAACTATGATCTGGCAAGAGCTCTGACATGTCCACCCTGGTACTAAACAACTCAGGGATGTGCAGATTCTATTCCTTAATGGAAGAAACACCTCTGCATATCCCATTGATTATGAATCTTTACCATATCACTAATCCAGGAAATTATGTACTTAGTCCTGAAGAAGTAAAATTGCTCACAGCTAAACAACTCCTTTAATTCATTGAAGACATAGGGCTTATCAGTGAACTATAGTCACATACTGTCGAAATGATACTGGTCTTTTTAAACCTACTTGATATATTAAATATATAATTACATGAATGGCTACTCTCCGTTAAGATAGACCGCTGTGGCCGCAATTCACTCTGGAGTAGTAAAGTGTCTAGTCTCAGGTACCCTATTATTCCTATCTTCTGTGGCGACTATGGTAATGATGGGGTGACAGGCTGCTATGAATTTCTAGAAGAGGTTTAGTTGCCATCTTAGACAACTCAACCTGGAAGTATTTAACACAGGCACTCTGAACATGGACAAGAATATCCTGGAGCTGAAAGAAAAGATAGACAATTCTCACTAGGATGTTATAGAATTTTCTGAGGTCAGATGAGCGGGGAAGACAAGGTAGCTTCTATACATGGTAGAGCCATGCTGCAGTTATGTAATAGTTGTAGTAGAGATAAATTGCCTTGACTGGTGTAGGACCACAAACTCAAAGAATTGTAAAGTTGCAGTTTAACACTGCTGTCTTTTGTATGGTGAGTGTAGACAGCCAGAGACAATTTTTACTGGAAATGAGTCCATTCCATCTTAGTAGTACGGGGTGACAACTTGACTTTTGATGTAGGTGTCTATGAGCATCCACTTGCCTGGAATGTGTTGTTACCCCTATTCCATTAACAAAACTTGTTACATACTTAATACTCAGAATAACTTTTGATGAACCTTAACACATCCCGATTAGAAGGGAGACATGATGTATTAGGATATCTTTAAAGCCATGCATTCTGCAGAAACCCACTATACAAAAACTACCCAACTGAAGAGAGGGATAAGATATGGTGTCACCATGTCCCTAAAACCTGACACTAGAACTCATTACAGTCCTTTTCTCAAGCACTAACACTATACAAAAACTATCCAACCGAAGAGAGGGATAAGATATGGTGTCACCATGTCCCTAAAACTCATTACAGTTCTTTTCCTCAAGCACTAAGCAATGCCACAAAACATGGCCCTTAAGCACCTGCATCTATCGACTATTTGCATATCTTACTAGGTTGTCATTCCATATTGTAAGGACCACCCTACACTTTGTAAGAGGTTTGAGGCTATGTTTGAGGGTTTTTATAAGTAAGAGGCTGCCATTCGAGAATCTTTCTACCCCATCAGTTATTGGTTCATCAAGCTATATGGCTGGCCCATTGACACTTACTAGTATCAGGATTGTGATGTTTTTCATACGGTATATAAAATAAGATACAAAATTTTTTATCTCAATAAAATGAACCTTATTACATCGAATATAATCTTAATATTAATAAATATTTAACTTTATTGATCAACATTGCTTAATCTCACCTATGCTTCTTACTGAGGTAGGTGTACCACTTCTGCCATGATAAATAGATCGTTGATAGCTCGCACCACGATAATTGTAAGAATTATGATAATAATTGCGAGCTCTTAAGTCTGGCACACTTAGCAAGGACATCGGTGAAGTTTCTCTTTTATAATAAGAGCTACGTTGATCAAAATTTCCATACTTTTGACGCTCAAAATTTCGGGGGAGCATAATATTGCGCATTGTGTAGTTTGTATTATTTGGGCCTCTGGCATGAATCATCTGAAAAATAAAGAATTATTTTAATAATTATAAATTGTAGGTTACATACACATTGAAAAAACTGCTATGGTTTTAAATTTAATTATTAGATATTTCAAAACATACCGTGCCCTCATTTTGCACACTAAAAGCATTATTTGATAGCAAGTCATCTTCACTGTCAGTCATATTTTACGGATACTAAATTCCTACACAATTTAAAGTTTCACTGTTACAAACACAGAGTACTTTTTTATATATAGGAAGTTACAATTACAAACAAAACTTATGCATTGTTTGTATAAACAGATTTGAATATGGATTTGAATAGTAGGTAGGTACTTACTGTCTTACTGTCCTAACGGATAAAATAGGCATGTCGATCTAAAATCGATTAATCGAAAAATCGATTCTTTGGATCGATTTTTAGATCAATTCAGATTCACTGAATCGATCCAAAAACCTCTCGAATCGGACCGATTCATCTGATTCAAGAACCAGCGATAAAATTCCCAAACTGGCTGGGGTAAGATACTGCAGTTTTTTAATTTTTTGCTGTTGGGGGACGCAAAAACAACCGATCTTACTTGGTTGATAATTTGAACGCAACACAACAATAGTGCAAGAGAACGCAAAACAAAAGAACAATATCGAAAAGTTGTCATTTCATTTTCATTTCTACATTTCTAATTCTATTCTTACCTGTGGAATGTTGGTCTAACTTAATCTGTGCTGTGAACAAAACTACATATATACACTACAATTTAATATTATGACTGTGAACCTGTTTGAAATGTGAACTTGCGAATTTACTTTATTATCAAAAACATATATACAGTGAGCTGTAAGTACAGACGGAGTACTTTTTATATACTTAGATGCTGTAAATAAATATTATATGTTGAAGTTTATAGAGGTTTATAGTAAGGATATAATCAGTATTGTGTTCGTATAGCATTCATTTCAATTTGATAAATAGTGAGTTAATAGATTGAAACAGGTTGATAGAGAAACGTAGGTTGCAGTTTGCCCTTTTGCTAAAGTATTGTTGTTGTTTTTAGCCTAAAATATCAAATAAAAGTGATACATGGAATCGCTTTGTAAAAAAAAGGGATCGAGTGGCGAACCACTCCTAAAACAAGCGTAAACAACAATTAGTAAATTAATAAGATTACTAATATTTTAATTTCAAAAAATATTAAAGCTCAATTAAAGAAAAAATCGGAAATTCTTGAAATTTCATGTTTGAAAGTGTCGCAATTAATCGAAAATCGATCTTTTAATTCTCTATTTAATCGATAATCGATTCTAGTATCTTCGATTCCAATCGATTCAGAGATCGATTTTTTTAAGAGTGAATCGACATGCCTAGGATAAAATAAAAATAAAATACCAGTGTGACCATTCTAAAAGTAAATATATATATATATATATATATATATATATATATATATATATATATATATATATATATATATATTATCTCTATGGGCAATCCCTTCCATCAATATACCAGATTCCCGATGAGCGCTTCAAAACCGGCCAGAAAAATAAGACCACAAACACTTCTGTGGTCTTATTTCAAATTAGTATAGTCCAATCATAGCCAACGTTAAAACGTCGAAATGCCGCAGTGCGCGCATTCAAAACTTGTGCAAATAACCACCGTAACACCAAGAATTTGGAAGGAATATCTTTTTTTCGCTAAGTTTATATCATTAAGTTTTTCATAAAATAAAAACAGAATTAAATAGCAAAAATTATTCAATTAGCTAATGGTATGATTGTTTGGCCAATGTTTGCTACAACGCAACAACTATTGTAACAAACATCGACTGTTCTTGAACAAACATGCATGGAGTATTATTATTATTTAATATATATTTTTTGTTTGTAAATTTCCTAGGGACCCATTTCGCTATGCATCCAAAAATTTGAGAATATGTTCGATTCATTTTGATTGATTGGACGTAACTGGAAGTGTAAGATTGTGAAGGTAGTGTAGTTGATTGCGCGGAAAACCATTCGTATTTTATTTTATTCGAGGGTAAGCTTGCCAAAGCGTTTGTCCTTTCCAAAAAAAAAACCTTCCGTCCTATCGATACACCGGTGTGGTGGGGTGAGAGGGGAAAGAAGATAGTTCTAGAATGTCACGTGACCTTCGCAACCGAAGTAATATAAACGCGCGCGCGCCCCACGCGCGCTCTCTTCCCTTCGCGCTCTTCGTTGGAATCACACCGCCTAGGACAGTAGTGTCCTAGAAGGCTCTTGCCCACGCGCACCGCTAGTTCAACCGCATTAGCCTGAAGATGTCGCGCTTCAGGAGTAACCGCCTCGCCTCGTGTGAGATATAGTCGCGCACCGCTCTATTCCATCGCATCAACGGACAGGAACGCATCTCTTGGGCCCCAGAGAATCCGCCAGAAGTCACACCGCAGCAACAAAGCGCCCAAGCTGCATGGAAGCAACACCCCGGTGAGTAACTTCCAGTTATAAGCCCGCTTGACATAATTGTGTTTATTAGTTAATCCGCTCCAATTTCTTTTTCTCCTAGCGTGATCAAGCGGGGTTCCTTCATAGACTTTGGCAAGCAATAGTCCGTTTAGGGAAGAGCGAGTGCATTGTCAGGAAAACCGCATGCTATAGTCGCCATTTTGTGGAGACGGAAGAAGCCATCCGCTTATACAGTCCATTTGGTGTAACATCTCGCGTAATAGGCTTAAGGCTCGACCGGGGAATTTGAATTCGGTAACCTTAGGCCCGTCGCTCAATCATTTTTCTGGTCATTCGGCCGGATTTGGACTGGTGCTATTGCCGCACCGTCCATTCAATCATCGAACTGTTAGATTAATTCCTTAGACAATGCACTCTAATTTTATTGAATAGATTTAAATAGTGTTTGTTTAGTTTAAATTTAAACTTTGGTTAGTTATTCGCAAATAGAATTCATTCATTTAAATAGTGTTTGTTTAGTTTAAATTTAAACTTTGGTTAGTTACTCGCAAATAGCATTATTCATTTTAATAGTGTTTGTCTAGTTTAAATTTAAAGTTTATAAGTTGCTCGCATAAGTGAATTGACTTATTTATTAAAAAACAGTTTAATCCCGCACGGTTATGCGACTACCCGACATTTGAAAAAAAAAACATTGAGTTTAGCGAGCGACACGCGTCACCTCGGCCCGTTGTAAAGGCGTTCAATTTAACGCGTGCGCGTGTCCATCCTCCAGCGTTGTGCGATTGATTGTGATTAATCTAATATTAATTATAATAATTTAAAATGACAGTTAGTGGAAATGAAATTAAACTCAAAACTCTTTACGCCAAGAGGGACGTACTCTTTTCCCGTATACAGTATATTAGTGATCACGTAAAGAACATTAACGTAGAAGCAGTGCGGGAAACGTTTTTGTGTGAAATTGAAACGGTGGACTCTTTGCGGACGGATTATGAAAGGGTATTAGACAAAATTAATAATTTGGAATTACAAATTGACCCGAAATATACAGTGAACTATCAGCCGCTTCTAGCATTTGAAGATATGTTGTGTCGCGTGAAGAGAACGGCGAAGCTCTTGCAGTCCCCATCTCAAAGCGGAGCAAAGCTGGAAGCCCAGGTACGCCTACGTGATTCGATTAGGTTGCCCCCAATGGATATTCTGGTATTCAATGGCGATATTAAGACATGGCCCTTTTTCTTTAGTAGTTTTCAAAACAATATACATAATAATCCATCGTTGTCGGAAGCTGAAAAATTATATTATTTAATTAGTAAACTGAGTGGCAGGGCACAGTCAATTTGCTCGGGTTTCACACCAACAGCAAATAATTATTTGTTAATATTCGAAACGCTTAAAACCAAATATGAAGATAAGAGAATGTTAGCTTCTGAATATTTAAACTAGATATTCGACCTTAAACCTATATCATCCGCGAACATCAACGGCTTAGAGCAGTTTTTAGATAAATTTGTGGCATCGGTGGCTGCACTTAAGAACTTAAAATTTAATGACCCTACGGACGTGGTGTTTCTCCATATTGCACTAAAGAAACTAGACCCCGGCACCGTGCGTGCGTTTGAAATGGAGCATCGTAGCTCTGAAATACCCCCTTTGATTCATTAGCATCGTTTCTGCGAGACCAAATCAAAGTGATGCAGCGCTCCACGAACGTTAGACAGGAGGTTAAGAAAGGTGTCGACCGTAGACAGACTCCATCACCTAAAACCGCAGGGTCGTTAACGCACGTAACCGCTGCGTCGGTACCACCCCCGAAGGCCTGTATCCTATGTAATGATAAACAACATGGTAATTTATACAATTGTGCGACCTTTCGTAAACATTCACCCAGCGAACGTTATAGAATAGTAAGGACAAACAACTTATGTCTGAATTGTTTAAGCGATAAGCATTTAGTTGCAAAATGCAATTCTAGTTCCGCGTGTAACAAGTGCGCCAGAAAACATCACACGTTGTTACATTTCGAAAATAGCAACATATCTGCGTCAAGTAAAGCGGATAAGGAATTCACCCCTGCTAAAGTCGACGATTCAAGCGGTCGACCTGGTGATGTCGCTCTGTGCTCATTGGCAAATGTGGGAGCACAGCCTCCTTCAACCGTGTTACTGAGTACAGCCCGTATTGTGGTTAGGAATTCGTGTGGAAACGAACAAAGCGTCCGTGCACTGGTGGACAACGGAGCCCAAAATAGCTTTATAACGCGACAATGTTGTCAGCGCTTAGGACTGTCAATAAATAGGGGACCTTCGTGTCCCGTAGTCAAGGGCATTGGAGGTACTAGTAAAGTTACCCAGGCATATATAAATTTAAAATTTTATTCTCGGATAGATCGTAACTTTGATATAAATGCACTAGTAGTAGATAATCACTGAACGTCTGTCAACCGTTTCGGTTGACACCTCGGCAATGATTGAATTTAAAAATTTGACTCTGGCAGACGACACTTACGTCGTTCCCGGAAACATAGACATGCTCATTAGAGCATCGCTTTTCCCTCATCTTTTGTTAAACAATAAGGTCAGGGGCAACTCCTCGCATACCGCGCATTACGCATTGGAAACCGTCTTGGGCTATGTCATATTTGGCTCCGCCCCCATCATGGATAGTATCTCGGCAACCTCTTATTGTTGTATGGCTGTCGAACCACTCGAGTCGTTAGTCCGCAAATTTTG